TCAATTGTTTCTTTCCATCAGCGGGTACAGTGTTCAAGCCTCCTTTAGCTGCTGCAACAAACTCCGGTCTGTCGGAAGGTTTGTCTTTCAAGAACTTTCCGAACTTCTCACAATTAGGAGGATTCGCTACACTATCAAGGGTTTTCTTGGTTTCCTGGTCGTAGATTGTCTGTGATATTCTTTTCTGATTTTGCTTGTCCGTCAAAGTTGCCTCAGTGACTATAGGCGGAAGGACGGCGTCAATCAGTGACATAAACGTCTCCCACTCATCTTTAGTGAGCCACTCCCAGCTTCCATCCGGTGCTACCGGAATGGGAGTTGGTAGCGGACCGATGTTTTGCGTGGATGATGGCATTGGGGCTTCAGAGGATAGCAAAGCCACTGGAAATGGTCACAGAACGATAGCGGCAAGAAGGATGAGCAATTAGAACATGCGTTTGACGCCCTAATAGCTCTCAAAAGCCATAGATGAAAATTGGTTAGTTGGCATTTAGATTTAACCACTGCGACAGAAGCAAAGGGGGTAGAAGCTTTATCTATTAGCCACGACTTTTGACTTTGAGCACCAAAAGGGGCTCGTGTCCCGCCATTCCGAACGACATCTAGTCAACCTTAACCAGGAAAAGGATCGCCTTCAGCTGTCCAAATGCCAACGCCTAAATATCAGGTGATGAGCGGCGCAGGACATATGGCGCGTTCTACACCAACAGTTCGGCCTCCAAGTCGACCATCACCGTGGTTCAGCTGAAAGTATCGGCGCTAGGCCCTGGATAGTGTCAAACAACTAGCGCACCTCTCTGTAAATAGCTTAGCATCGCCCCGTTTTGACAGTTCTGCTATTCCTTTTTAGATGCGTAACGAGCCGCTATCCGATACTTCACGTGTTAGGGGTCCTTGAAGAGCTCTCTTGAATATCTTAAGGTGCATACGTGGACCCGGTTATGGAGGATCTGATCAACCCCCACTGGCGCTGCAGAGTTCTTTCTGTGGGCAGGGAGACATTGGGGATACCGACAGGGGTCCTATTAGCAACTTGAGTTTAGCACGTTGTCAAAATTATGCTGAAGACTTCATCGGAGTGCATCCAATAAACGACATACCCGACAGCAATACAGTTATATCAGTTGTCTCCACCTGGTGAAACGTCTTCAACCTTACGATTGACACCAGCAACCCTCTCGCATTCTTCGCTAGTAATGTTAAATAGTTATATAGCGATGATCGTATTATAGAAAGCGGTGAAAGACAAAATACTCAGATGAAAGGAATCAAATAACACTAGTGTGATCAGTGACCGTCACTTTTAACAGGAGCTGTCTATTGCAAAGTTGATTGGATCATTATCTAGCTACGAAAGATCTTTAAACAGCTTCTAGCAGTCACAATACGTTGTGAAGTGTAGTTTCGATTGTTGAAGCTGTTTGTGAGGAATAAAATGTACTCTGATCGACAAAGAATGCATCATCCACACAGTTTGATTTATAACGAGAGGACATACCCGACGAAGACAATTGCACCGTCGTCATCTTGGGGCATAAAGCTCAGCCGGTCGTTGATACGAGTGTATCTTTACCGGAGCGGGTGTCGCCTGGGAATGGTTGTATCCATCTCCATAATGCTGCCAGTATCCGGTTTCTGGCGCCCACTGACCAGCCGGTGGTACTCCATGACTGGCAGGGTGAGTTGGTAATTCGGATTTTGTTCCGGGTGTTGGTTGCTCGATTATCTGTGGCTCTGATTTTTTTCTGAGTGCGCGTAGTGGATGCGGACAAAGCCATGCTAGCAAGGCGATGACGACACTGGGAATACCCAATCCGAGCCCAATCCCAATGGCTATCTGATCGGTATGATTCAGACCAGATTTGCGAGAAGAGCCAACAGCTTCACTGGTTGATGTAGTGGTTGTGTGCGCTGGCTCTTGAGAGCTTGCACTATCACCAGTGGATGAAATGGACGAAACGGACTCCGTGGAGCTGATATCTATAGAGGCGGATGATATCGAACTTGTCCTCCACTAGATTATATTAGAAAGGAGACCTAAAATAAGGGTATGGCTTCTCACCATGGCACAGTCTCAGTTCTAGAGCGAGTGCCTGTCTCAAATATCGTCTCGATAATCGAGCTATTGTCGCATCCTATGGGGAAATCGCACAAGTCTGTCTGATAGCAGTAATTGAAAAGCTACTGAAGCTCGTGACCCATCCATAACAGAATTGCGGAGTATCTCAGGATGCGTTAATGCGAAGTCTGAAAACTTTCAGAGCAGCTTAGACCCACAAGTGTTGTCAAACCCGAGCTCATATCCAACAAAGTCAGTCCTAGTCTCAACGGAATCGTCCCTTACTCTGAGCAAAGGAGGCGGAGTGATTATAGGCTCATAATGGTGAATGCTAGAAGTAGTTCTCGCAAGAAGAACCCATAGAAGCAGCCTTGGTAAGAGAACGGCCGCAGACATATGTGCTGTCCTGTGAGCAAGTCTAAAAAGTTCCTTCCAAGAGGTCATGAAAGGGAAGCCTGAACCAGTGGCGTATTCAAGAGATGCGGGGGTGCAACTTACAGATCGAAGCGAGGAGTACGAGCAGTCATCAGGTGACAATATGAGTAGTCAGGGGTAGTTAATTGAGGCGGAAGCGCCACCAATTATCGTCAGAACGAAACGTTGTAACCTAGGAATACAACGCCACCGATCTCGCTTACCTGGAGCGATTTCAATAAGCACGCTATGCTCTATTACTGCAGCTAGTTAGAGTATCTGGATCTATTAAAGTCTGCTATTTGTTGATGGGCTACCAAGTCATGCATACTACGATAGCTTGCATATTCCATCCACGTGCAGGAAGTTTGTAACCGGCTTCCCACTTCATCGCGTTTTGCATAAGTCTAATCTATCCAATAATGGCTGATACTTTGCACTACAATATTAAACTGAAAGTACGATTTGCAACAGATCATTTGTAGTAGGTAGCTAGCGATCCGTATAGATACAGTCACACAAGTCAACAGCTTGAAAGGACCGTTGTCATGGCATTCATATTCGACTGCCGTTGAAATTCTCCGCCTCCAACTCCCAAGTCTAAGCCGAGCGTTCCAATCCTATTTCCTCCATCCGATTATCTCGCCCAGATTTCCACGCCCTGACCATTCCCTTCCCGGACCTCGAAGACTCCAACTCCACCATTCATATCCGCAACGAAGAAAAGCTTGCCATCTCCCGAGAAAGAGAGATCCGTGATCCGGCTCAGATCCGCCAATTGCTCAAATCCTGCTTTGCCCTCCAACTCCGCCTGCGGCCACTGCCACAGCCCTTTGCCGCTCATTGCGTCCAACACAAGCAGCCGGCCCCTCTTTGCATCACAATACGCTACGAAGCGGCAGTCTGGCGAAACACAGGCCAATGTATCCGGAATAGGAAATACCCTTGTGGTGTTCGCGGCGAAGTCCCATATCAGCACTTGGCGATGAGTCACCGTGACAGCTTCGAGGAGCCAGCCCCCTTGCTTCCCACGGTTAGGCACAGCGCGATAACTGGCAGGAATCCAGATCGAGACAGCCACGCTTCCGTATGTGGAGAGACACAGAGGAAGTGCTGTCTCCAACTCTGTGTGGTGGGCTGGCATGACGAATTTGTATGGCCGGTGCGTCGGCGTTGAATTACTATCGAGCTCCCAGGCCATGAGTATCGCTGCATGCTCTGGCGGAGGGAGACCAACACGTGGTGGCCTGGGGCCGGCAACCGCAACAAGTAAGGGTGCGGTTGCTGAGTACGCGATCTCTGGACACTTCGGGATATGTGGCATGCCGGCTTTGCGAAATTCGATTGTTCTTGGCTTCGTGAACGGCTTTTTGGATTTGGTATCTCTGTTGACAGGATACAGATCGATGGTATCATTGTCCTCGCGATACGTTGCTAGGGGCGGCCAACTCTGCTCGTGAATATCGCCGCGGACGGTCGCCCACCGGTATGCCTCCTCGATGGTCTGCAGCTTCTTGCGCTTGGCCCAGTTCCAAATTTCCAAGGTATTTCCAAAACCGCTAGTGATGGCCACGAGATTTGTGGTCTCGGATAGAATAGCATGGCTGCGGACAAAGAAATCCCGTGATCGTATTTGATTTTGTACATAAAAGCTCACTTTGATTGTGCTCTGTAAATCACCCGAGCGTAGATCAGTAAAACGAATAACGTTGTTTCCATGCTTGCTGACAAGGACTGAGCAGGTAGGCGATACGTCCAAGTATGAAACCATGGCGGGATCTTTTTCTCTTTGAGAAACATGCTTCCACGGAACAATATTAACATCTGAGGTAGTATTGCGTGTGGGGGGACGAGGCTGCTGGATGGTTAAGGGTTTAGGGGGAGAAATAGGGGCAACTGGATAGGAAGATGATCCGTTGGAGACCCGGCTAAAGGTAGAGTTGGTAGTGGCAGAGCCTTTCGAGTTGCGGGAGGTTGGAGTAGATGGGACATTTGACTCTGAGGATCTTTGAGAGGTTATCCGCTGAGGGGGTATTGCTGGTAGTGGCTTCGTTGGTGGAGGCGGATAGAGGCTATATGCAGGAATGGAGGCATGGGAAGATGTTCGCAACCTTCGCGACGCTGGATCATCATTGGATCCGGTTGTCTCATTTGTTTTTCGCCTCTGAATAGGTGCTGGCCTAGATGTCTTCCGTTGTGGCTTCGAGTATAGAGTCTCTTCATCTTCGGTAGAAAACCAAGTTCCTGAAGCTTCCGACGTGGGCCTAGAGTCGGAGCTTGAGAAAGAGTTGGCATGGCTATCTGACGTTGATATCCTGCTAAGTGCATGAGTGAGTTGCTTGAGAGGATGACGATTCTGTCTCGGATCTGATTCCTGGAAATTCATCTGATATTGGCCATCACTAACACGCTATCAGCCAATTCATCCGTCGCCGCAGTAGAGACATTAGAATGAGATGAGGCGGCGTGGCAGAGCAGTTTGCTGCGCACCCTACACTTCAAATATACAGAAATGCATTAGGATGACTCACTCGTGGTCCACTGGAGACCTCTCTAGACGACCAGTGATCGCATCTCCCCAAACGGATTCTACAAAGCTGACCATTCCGTCAAGTGACTTCAGTAATCCAAAGTTGAAGCCACGATAATCTCGCTCAGGCCCAGGGATGCGCGCTCGTAGCTGATGAATGCGGATGAGAAGCTCGCTCGCGTCCTGCTTGATGTCTGTAGCCCCGATGCCGATGGCATTGGGGTCAGCCATAAACTCGTTGGCAGCTGACCTAAATACAAGATAATGGTCAGTACGGCTGTTGAAGCGGCAGTGGAATGCGTTTCACCATATCGAGTATCAACGACGACACATGACACGGACAATGAACATACAGATTAGCTACTTCCAGCGCCAATCGCAGGGCTCTGCGAGACGATTGCAGTCCGACCTTGAGGCCTCGGATCTCATCCTTAGCCTTGGTCACCCAGCGGCCGCTGCGCAGAGGGCCGTCACCGCAATCAGCCAGGACACTATCGATGCGTGCCAAGACAAGGCCACATCCTCCCACGAGAGATAGCGTAGATGCTTGCAGCGGCGGGGGAATGACCACGCCGTCTTGCAGTCGCTCAAGAAGCGTGCGAAGGTCTGATAACTCATAAGTCAAGGGGTCCAGATTGGTGCGTGCGAAAGGCACATCGCGGACAAAGTCGGTGATCGAGTGTCCCGTCTGACCGATGGCGGCGAGCGCAGCCGAGGTCGCGCCTCTCACCGCTCGGGGATCCATCGTCAGTCAGCCGGCGAGAAGGCCAGCCAGGGGCTTTTGTCACTCTGTCTCTCCTCCTTGGGTATCGGCGGGAGTGCGCGTGGCGCGAGACGCTCTGTTCTGAGCGCCCTTCCTTCGGTCTGTCTTCTTACATGCGCGCCAGCCTCAATGAAGGTCTGTTCATTGAGATCATCGTCGGCTCTGGGGTTAAAGCTTTGGAGCGATGCTGAGATGGGATATACGGCGCCGTCGAGTGGAGTTACTGCCGCATGTACCCACGTGGATTAAGGTGAAATGCCCTTGGAATGCAATGTGTAAGTGTATGCTGCCAGGCACAGACGACGGACGCATGCCAGGACTGCAGATCGACACCGTACTTGTAGGTTCCTCTCACGGCCCTAAACTGCTCCCCTTGCCCGCCCCCCTTGCCCTGGCCGTGCCTCCGCCCGGGGCATCTGTCTCTGTCACTTTCTCTTGCGGAGAGTCGAGGCTAGGTACGTACACTACAGTGCTACTCTAGTGGGGGGTGGGATGAACCCCTACATCCCTCGGAGGCTAGTCAGTTGTCTCGGAGCCTATGAGATGGACCCAGACCCATGGACGAAATCCTCTGGGGGTGGTGGCCCCAAGGCCCCTTTGTCCTTTTGGTGCAGCCTTTCGCACACAGTCGAGGCAGACCCCGGACGGGGACCGGGGGAGGGGAGCTGGATTCGTCTTCCCCTTTTCAACCTTCTTTAGCCTATGATACCATCAATTGGGTTCTACTACTCTCCTCCAAAGCACCCTGCTCTACACTACGAGTGATGTCTGTACTCAATTGCTAGTTCCTGGTAGACTGCTGCTGTATGTACAATAACTTGCATACCTAGGCTTCCCCAGAGGGCGAGATGTGTCTGCCTCCACCAGCTAGCTAGCTAAATTATCGGCGACGCGCTTTGAGGTTTCTCAACGAGGAGCTTTACTCAGGAGGGCGTAGCCTAGAGCACTGACTAACATCGTATCAAACTCGACTGGTAGAACTAAGAACTTGCAGGGATTCAACGATTACGCAAAAGACAGGCGAAATTATCGAAGAGACCAGATGGCCTTAGTCATGGCCTTGAAGAGTCCTCTTGACTTGACCTTGGAAAGTGGCCTTCCAATGAATGCAACGCCGATCTCCAACGCAAAGAAGAGGATGAGAAGAGAAGAGAAATGAAGTGAAGTCGAGTCAAGCCAACTCGAATGAAGTCACTGAACCCACATCCCGGAATACCTTAATCCTCTGTCAGTTGGTTGTCTGCCATCGGTACCCCGGCATGCCACCGACTGCCATGCCCATGCCATGTCTCTCGCATGCATGGGCACGCGCATGCAGATTTTGTGTCTGTGTTTATGTGGGTGTGTGCATGGGAATGGGAAAGCCCGCTGTCCTTTTTCTCTCTACTGCATAGTATTTTCTGTCTGTCATGGAGCGAGCGGTCTGCTGCTCATCTGTGGAAAAGGGCCGAAACGGTGGCGGGGGCCCGGGGAAATCCCAAACACCACCGCACTGCTGGAGTAGCGCCACCGGTCGCACTGCGGAGCGGGCGGCATATCGGCTTGAACTAGGCTGGAAAGGCGTCATTTAAAGCTTCTCGAAAACTCGGGAGCCTGGTCACTGGGCACTGGGGCAGAGAGTTCCGTGAGTTGGGAGCCGCTTTCTTCATTTCATAATGTCATCGGCCCAAAAGTGTAGAGCAGAGACATGTGAGGTAATTGCGGTATTTGCGGCGATGCAAGAGGAGGGTCAAAGGACCATCCAGAAGTCTCCTGTCCTTTCCGCAGGGAAGAGCCGGCCCGCTGTCATCGTCATACCACTTTCGAGCCGGTTCTCGGTGCGATCAAGAACAAAACTAGAGTAGTACTTCAACACCGAGGCGAATGGCGGTGCTGTCCACAGATTGCACAGAGGTTACAGCACAGCAACGTCTGTGCAATCGCACATGCCCTGCTTCTCCCGTTTCCAGGTTCCTTCCATACAGGGACCAGGCTGAATTGACAAAGCTCCCAGAGGGCTGGACCCGAGAAATCACGATATCGATGGCTTGGGTACGGCACAGCTTCCTTTTCGAGTAAAATGCGCATCCGATCCGATTTGCCTCACCCTGCTCCAGGCTTGCCAGGATACAACATACAACAACACTAACGTTGTAGCCTGAGAGCCGCAGCTGGACGAGGCGACAGACTCTGAAACTTCAGGGTCAATCTCTACAAGGATTTCCGACTTTATCGACAGTATGCCAAAACATGTTTTGAAAAGCTCCTGGCTTCTGCAGAAGACGGACGGGATGTTCCATTGCAGCCCAGCCCAAACTGGATGTCAGCCACATGCTCGTGATGCTTGTAGGATCCCTGATAAGCACCTGGCTTCAGAGCTAAGAACGAGTTAAAACAGGCCGAGAATCTAGAAAGCCCCGCGTAACGTTAACATTAGGCCTGCACATTAGAACCCTGTTCCTAGAAGCTGCCAAATATCTACTACAGGGAGGACAAGCGTAATGTTTCGGGTCACCTGGTGATCATGATTATCGCTGAAACCATCCAGATCAATCGAATTACGTTCGTCTTCGAGATCAAGAGCAATAATTGGAAGAGTCAAGATCTAAGAACGTGTTTGAAGCATCTAGCGCGATGTTTGAGCTCTGAGGTTTCCATTCAATATGTCTCAGTGCACTCCGGCCTAAAATTGATACAATGACACGATATCACTACTATTCGTTTGGAAAAGACATGCTCGTGGCCTTGCCACTGATACTGCCTACATATCTAAATAATTCAAATGACTCAATTCCTTAGTTACTAGAGAGCTCTAATAGACAGGAAGCCGATACACATGTGCATCCTTGCCTCACGCACCGCATTAGTATCGATAGCCATCATATTGATAGTTACCCGAAATGCCAATCAAGCCCATTGTGGGGCTCTTGATACAATAATATAGACAAAATGGGTCTCACGAATAGACGTCACAGTCTAATTTGGAGAAATGTCGCTGGCCTATTCCGGCTGATATGTGACCTTATCACCATGGCTAGAAATCATAATTCCAAAGGCCCGACATGCGGGGCTCCTATTTCATGCTAAAGAGAGCATACGAAAAGGGTTCTTTGAAGCTTAGGCAGGCCAAAACTGTGGCCTCATCTCCGAGACCTGCAAGGTTGATGGCTCGGTGCTGTACAAGCCAATGGTGACAACCATACTGTACCCTACTTCCAGTCGGTTGAGCTATGCCATCGCCAATAACTGATTTCTCACTATATATCAACATTATTGATGATGAAGCTTCCAAAACTCGCTTCCATTGCTCTGTGGCACCGCTCGTCTACCATTGCGAACTTCGTGCAGAATACGACATCTCACGAAGTTTATATGACAAGAAACGCAGAGGATTGTACCTCTCGATCCGCCGCTTTGGTCAACTTGACTGTAGTGAACACGCAAATAGTCCTTGGCAACCCCTTGAGTAGAGAGAATAGCTCTATTGTGTTTCAGCTCCGCAATCCAGCGACTGGCGTCGAAGGCGAATGCGCAGCTCATGGACCAGCGCTGACACCAAACGGAGTAGGCAGTGACCCTTATATATGGTACAACTGCTTTGTTGAGTCCAGAAATCCCAGCATCACCAAGATGTTTCAATATGACTCCGTCATTAATCAGCTAAGCGTGAATGAAACGTGGATATGTGATGACAACACCGCTGATAATATGTAAGCCATTGTACCCTCCCGAGACTGGCAACTGAAAGCGTCCCTTGTGTCGCAGATACACTTATAAATTTCTATATTAACAATGGTCAGTGTTCGCTTCGAAGCTCTTGGCACAGACACATTAGCTCTGTCGTGCGATGACACTGCCGCGAATGCGTCTTTCCAACATCGTTGTAGTTCAGACAAAGATATTCCTTTTCCAGTGTCAATTACGACGATGAAACTCTGATTATACGCTGGTAAACTTCTGAAGATCATAGGTCCATAGACAATCCGCTAAATTCACAAGATTGAAGATCTCAGAATGGACGGATGCAAAGTGAATCCAGGCTGAGGTGACTTGATAAACAATGATCACAATCTGCTATTCTTCTCCAAAGACACGAAGACAAAACTGGAAACGACATTTTTCACCCATCCTCTAGACTCGCCATGACTTCCTCAGTGGAATCGTCATCAATCGGCTTTCGCCTGTAGGCTCTGCGCATGCTTGTACACCGCACTAGCATCCATGAAAGTCCTCAGCTCCTTCGCCTTCCAGCTCGCCCCGTCCTGCCCCCCACCCACGAGCTCGACAATGTTGAACTCGCGCACCCTGATCTCCGCCGCCGCCGGGTCGTCCTTGAACACCGTGACGCTCGTGCTCTCGTACATGACCGTCCTGCTCCCCGCGCCGCTCTCTATGTCCCAGGCCACATGGACCTCGTGGCCGAACCGAGCGAGCTTCTGCCCGCGCATGGTGAGCATAGACAGGACCTGCTCCGTAGGCACGGGCGCGCCTCCGTTGATGGCAAACGCGGCATCAGGCGTGAGGAAGTTTGTTAGGGTCTGGACCTGGTCTGGATCAAGCGAGTCCAGAACGGCGAGGAACCCTTTGAGAAATTGGAGGCCTGGTGAGGCACCGGATGGAATGGAAGTGGATGGACCGTGGTGAATGGTTGTTTGTGCCATGATGAAGCAATTCACTGAAAGCCGAGGCCGCCTGACAAATTGATGATAGAAGTTTCAAGAGAAGTTAGAGAATGAAGAAGAGCGACGTGAGTAGAAGCGGGTTATCTCGCCCGGGAGAAGTAAAGAGCTTCCTGGGTTATATGGCGTCGTACGCGGCTTCTGCATTGAGACTTAAATTGTTTCGTGATGCTATATGCTATCAATGTTTAGGTCAATCAACGCATCCGGTAGCGGAAGAAATACACGCCGTCTGACGAGTAGATGCATTGTGGCGTACAAGTTAGGGGGTAAACACATGATCAATTCGGGAAAGGGCATTTGCAGATACCAAAACATGAAATCATAGGATACTATTCTTCATTAGACGTCCATCTGTCCAAAGCCTACCTAAGGGGGCCTAATTACAAAGCCAAGAGTCCTGCTTAACATGACCTGCCAGATGTGAAGAAAGAAGTTATCTACCTGAACGCCTATACCTGACCCTGATATCTCCCTTCTGTTTTCCGTCTCGTTTCGGCTCCCCCGTGCACATGCATCATAACTGTAATACACGCCGTATGTCATCGCCATATAAAACAAGCCCATATCCAATACAAATACATCCAGTTGTGGATCCATGTCTCGTCAAAGAAGCATTATACCGTCTTTCCACCGCAGTCAGGAATTTTGACACCGCTCTTGAGCTTGCGATTCACGTCGAGCAGGCCCCAATGATCCTCCCATTTCTTGCCCTCCTCGTTGAATTGGATCTTCCAAGGCTCATCAAACGCTTCAAACCAGAAGTACTGCGTGCCGTTCGTCAGGGCGTCACACACCCAATCCTCCATGAACTGATTTAACTCGTCAATCCCGGCGACAGAAGCGTCAGGACAGTCAGTAACGGTATCCGTACCACAGTCCGTGCCGCCCTGTGTGGGCCATCCCGTCTCCGAGATGATATTCTTATCGGCATCTGATTTGAAGTAGGGACCATTGTTATTCTCCCAGAAAGAGTATGTCCAAGATGCAGCGTCTTTCGCATTGATGCCACCGAAAAATGGATGAATATTAGCCATGACGTAGTCGCTCTGTTGAGCCAGCTCGGCTGTCCACTTGTCACCCAGGTCGCTCGTCGCCACCGGCAGTGACATGTCTTTGGAGGTGAGGTTGGTCCGGACAGAAGCTAGTAGCGTGCCAAGCTCGCTCGTTGTCATTTGCTCTCGGAAGAGAATCTCATTGGCAACAATGAGACCCTTGAACGGCGTCTCACCATACGTGTCGAGAATTGTCCACATCTGCTCTAGCTGACGCGCGTTAGTTGTGTCGTTGTTGTCCTGCCAGACACCCATCCAGATCTTGATAGTATCGTCCATCTTGAGCTGCTTCAACGCATGAATCACCATCTCAGTCTGGTTACAGTCTGTGCCGTAGAGCCGGATGGTATTGGTCAGCTGTGAAAGTACAGCGACATCTCTTGTAACGTTGTTCTGGGACGGCGGGGAGTGAAGGCAATCGGGATACTGAGTATTGAGCGGCGTGTAGTCGACCCCGGGGAATATCTTATGAAGATCGGCGTTGTTCAGGAGCTTTTTGATCTCAGAACTGTTGATATTGAGGTCGCCGTTGGCATCTTCGTCATCCGATGCCGATCCGGATGAACTCGACGAGCCATTTTTGTTTTTGAGAACCACGCCAAAGACAATGCCGCACGCAATACCAGCGGCAATTACCAGGCCAATACCAATGATGATGACCCATTTCCACTTCTTCGAGCTACCGCTCTGTTTGGATAGCCAGTCTGATGACTTTTCTGCTCGATTACTACCGAGATCGTACGCACTTCCGCCGCCTTGGTAGCCGGTACTACCATTGTGGACGGGGTCATACTGCCCACTAGGCCCACCGCTCCGTCCCGCAGCGTTTCGTCCCACGAGACCGCCCAAGGCACCCATGACGCCCGCACCAGCAGCAGCTCCGCCAGCACCTGCACCTGCAGCCGCAGCCGCAGTCCCATGGTGACCACTCCGATTGCTTGAGCCACCGAGGCTGAGCATGCTTGTTCGATGGCCGCGCCGCCCATATTCAAGACCTTCGTCACCGTCGTCTTCAATATCGTGAGGGTTCACCACGCCCAGGCTGGGATTGGGCATCCCTGAGTAGCCTTGGTATGGATCATCGGAATACAAATCATTGTAAGCACGGTGAGGGCTCCTGGAGGGCGTCCTCATGCCCGGCGAGGCGGCCCCTGGTGGTACAGCAGCGGCGTTGAGGCCTGCAAGGCTCGAGTGTGAGTTTCGGTCGCCCGTGTAGCCTGCTGCATAGGCCGCTGGGTGTAGGCCCTGTGATGCTTGATCGTTGCCGTATGGGCCATTACCAGCTCCCCTGCCATATTGCTGCTGCTGTTGGCTCTGGTAGGCCTGCTGAGGATAATTCGGGCCGCTCATGGCCTCGACGCCGCTTTCTCGGGGATGCCGGTCTGCAACACTGTAAGCAACACCGGACAAGCCACCGGCTGCTGCCTCGCCAAAGTTGTCCGCACCTGGAGTGATGTTACTCTGGGGCCCAGTGCCGTAGCCTAACTCCTGGCCCCAGTACCGGCCGTCGGCGTCACGATGAGGTGGGGGCTGCGGCGGTGATATGGGAGAGACTGCGTCACTGTACTGAGCACTGGTTGCTGCTGCCCCGGCGGCGGCTCCAGTCGCAAGATACGACGGACCACCACTAGCAGAGCGGTCACGGCTCAGGCGCCTTTCTTGACGCAAGCGACCGAAGTGTGAATCTGGGTGTGCACCGGGACGATCTGAGCGGGTGGGGGAGCCGTAATTTTGTTGTTGTTGCTGCTGCTGGTACTGTGCCTGACCGTTGTTATTGTTGTTGTTATCGTTCTGGTGGTAGCGGTAGTCTGGAGAGTCCTGATATTGTTGGTAGTGTTGTTGTTGCTGTTGTTGTTGCTGCTGTTGCTGGCGGTATGGCTGGCGGGATTGAGGGGAGTAGGAGTACTGGTTTTCAAGGGGTTCTCTCTCCGCGGATTCGGAGTCGAATGAGTAGCGAGGCATGATGGCAGGCTGGCAGGCTGTTAATGTCCGTTCTGCCTCAATCAAGCTTAAGAGGTGCAAGTAATCATCTCCCTACCTCAAAGTGCGGTCCCTAATGCAAGAGTGGAGTTTATGATGCCCAGTATAACAAGGTATACGCTATTGGGGGCGGGCGGTTCCTTGTTTTCTGGGCCGGGTCCCGCCAACTTATTTCAACGGCGGCGGCGAGCGGGACGTCACCGCCCGGGGCTAGGAGCAGCGAAAACAAGGCCTTTGTGGCAGTAGGTTGTTACCTAAAGATGGATTGACAGACAGACAGGCAACCAGCCCGACAGAGTGACAGAACAGGAGCCGGACGGGATTTGCGAGATGTTGTCAGAGAAGGGGTCGATTTCGTGGGGGCCAGTGGTAGCCTGTCTTCTAAGGTGCCCCTTTTTAAGACGCCGTTTCGGTACAAAGGCTGTTCGTTCAATGAATGAAACGAATGAGGCAGTGGGTTGAAAGAGCGAACACCCGTCCCGGGCAAAAGGTAGCAATGTGCCAGCGGTATACAGGGACACAGAGAGACAGAGAGACAGACAGATAGGCTGATTGCAGCGCCGGTGTTTCTTGCCTGAAGCAGATGTGTTTCCTCCTTTTTTTGTCGAGATCGCCGCGACGAGCCGCTGATGCAACGCTTGGCTGGGAGAGAGCTTGTCTCCCTTTTTCTTCCTTTCTCTCGTCTTCTTGTCTTGTTTTCCAATTTGAATTTGCGAAATATACCGCCAGGCCTATTGCTTGTTTCGTGTGTGTGTCTCTTGGTCGATGTGCCGTAGTCGATCGAAGTGGGCTAGAAAGCAGCGGTCGTCGCCGTCGTAATTGTCGTCGTTATTGCAGACTCGATCGCTGTTGATGTCGACTTGGGACGAGGCCAGAAGTTGAAATGAAGAGGAGGAAAGGAGGAAGGGAGTAGAGGATGGCGAGGGCGAGGGCGATGCGAGGGCGGAAGTCGGAGCGATTTAGTCGAGGAGGGCTTCGTATTCCGGGAAGAACAAGCTGGACAGGTGATGGATAGGTAGGTATGTCTTCCTGTTCGTATTGAGTTTGAGGGAACAGCCTCAGGGGAGGCGCTTTGGCTTGTTCCAGCACCTGCAGCCACCGACGGACGGCGTGAGTTACATGCGACTTTCCCTCCTTAACTCCCCACCAATGCTTACTGCTTACAGGCGGCGGGGTCCCTTGCAGTGCAGGTGGCAGGTGCAGCATCAGTGTCCGGGGCAACCTGACCTAGCTCAGGTGAGTGGGGTCGCACTTGCCATTTCCAGTATTGACCTGTACTGTACATTCGTACCTACCTTACCTAGTAATAACCGTGGCAACGTAACACCTGGGCAGTTCATTCAACTCCGTATTGGATTTGGTTTACTTCAAGTATCTACACCAAGCTCATTCACCAACATAATTGATATCGATCAATTGAAATAGGTGGAGGAGCCCGCCCATTTCTAGGGCGAATCGCCTGAGACTACACTGGATGCCAACATGGCAGCATGGCTTGCATCGGAGCAAGAAAGAGGGACTCAGAGAGAGACATTTTGGCTGCCAGAGAGCTAGGGGCTGAGGCGGCGGTTTCACACAGCCTGCACGCTAACATGCCCCGTGCGGTCTTTGCCCAGGTGGCTTTGAGTCCGTCTGTCACTCATATGAGTCGTGCCGTAGTACCTTAGGCAGGCCGAGACTAGCAATGAAGCATAACTGGGAATAATTTAAGGTAAGTAGCTTTAGACCAGCGTCGCTACTTAATTGACACAGCCTCTTCTTGCAGTAGGTAGATCAGGAAGCAATGTTAGTGTTTCTGGGTTCAGGCAGTTAGGTAGTTAAGGCAACCTAGATACCTCCGGGGCTGCTCTACTTCCACATACTGCGTAGTAGTCTATTCCGCACAGCATCGGCACGGCAATGAATGAATGAATGAATGAACGGCTGAATGGGCTGATTGAATTGCTTCGCCATTCGCTGTCGAAGAGCGGCGGCGCCTGTCCGGTGCGGCTCCCGGGCTGCCCCAATCGTCTCTGCGTGCTTGTGGTTGGCCAAACAACCAGAGACAAGAGAACCAACAGAGAACCCCCTCTCTCAGCCCGGCGCCCCTTTCCATCACAACGCCCCAAAGTCCTTCAGCCGCACCGGATCGCTCTCTACGCTGAAGTGCAATAGGTAACCATGTAATTATGTCCTTGGAGATTCGAGACTCGGTGGGCTGGACTGCGACTGTTCAGGTCCCGTCCCGTCTGGCCTACGGGTGCGGCTACAGTTAGGACATACCGGCTGATTAAGTAAAAAATGCTAACATCGGGTTCGTGTTACTGGGGCGCCAGTGTGTTCAGTCGTGTTCGTGAACTACCTATTTATAGCCCTTCGGCGACACGAAAACCCCTATGAGGAGCTCGGGCCCCACACTTCTGTCACAACAGGAGGCGGCACTGCCCCTGCGGAATTCGTCGCCGCTTCTTTTTTTTTTTTCCTTCTTCTCGATCGCCCCCTTCATCCTGATGGTCGGTTGCATTAAGGTAAACTGAACGTAATGATCTGTCCTGAGTTGAAATGACATGAACAAAACTGAATTATAGTTGACCAAAATGCATTAAGATTCATGGCTGGATGATGGATTCTTGCCCTTCTCCCCGTCTCACTTATCTCCGATGCAGTGCAGTATGATGTCCGCCCGCCTACTTGGACCAAATCTGTCTGTCGTTCCGTCTCTTGCTTTAATATCATGGGGATTTTGGAATAGCAATCCCAAGATGGGTTGAACAGCCTCCTTGCGCGTTTACCTGTCTATTCGATAGTGTCTAGCTGCTTGAGCTGTAAGACGTGTGGTGCTCGCCTTATAATTCACTGACAATTAACAAACAAATAGAAGCATTTTTTTGCAAATCTGAACTACCATGCAAGGGCGACTTCTCAACACTCATTGCATGATACCGCACGCGTTAATTACCACCCTTTCTCTTGAGAAAAAAAAAACCTCACACCTTGCAATGAATACTTTGGTTTCAACTCGAATGCTGCCTGCGCCAGAGAATTCTCCACCTTCGGTGTGCTCACCTCGCCATCGGTCGGTGGGGCCGTAGGAGCAACCGCTCCGAGTTGACGACAGACTGTTGGTCCTTTGGTCTGAATATGGTCAATTGACATGGTCATTACTGCCAAACGCTGCGCGCAGAAAACCATAATGTACACTTTCGCCTTTGATTTGCACATTCCTTCCTCTTCTGGAATCGATGGCAGCGTTGACAGGAACCGTTGTGTTCTCTTTGGCTTGCAAGGCGGCAAAAAGTGGCCCTCTTATCTCATTCTCTCCACACCACAATGAGGACTGTGATGTAAACCTGCCGCATGTTTGACATCATCCACTCACCTCCCACCAACGACTCCGGACATATATGTATATAATTGAGCAAAAGCCATCAGCCATCTGGGTGACTTTTAGAGTTGATTCTAAGTCTCACTCTCTTTTTTTTGAAAGACACCCAATCAGTCTCGCGAGCACTAGAATCTGATTTTCGCATCTTTCTCTCTATTCGTCCATCTCATCATGTCCGCAACAAGCAATACGGATTCACTAGCAGCTCAGGCTGGAACAGAGTTTCGCAGCCGTGTTCCTCCCTCAGAGCCACTGACCACTAAAGGCGTAAGCACCCAACCAACTCCTATACTATACAAAACTATTAGCTGACATTTTCTTGCGTCTGTTGCATAGCATGCCCCAGGGGTCAAAGTCGGAAATGATGCTCGGCCCGAGTTTCACGCAGAGACATATGAGCCGGGGACGGCGCCCCAGGAATACTCCCACCGCCCAAACGCACAGTACGAGACGCCCGGCCAGGCGCTGAACCCCGACGTAGACTCTTCTTCTCGCACTGATCCCTTGAGCACGTTACCTGGCGCGACTTCAGGATCAGTCTACAACCAGGGCGAGTTCGGCAAGCCGGTTCAGGGTCAGACTAGCCAGGAAGTGCACGGTGCACATGCCGGAAGAAACAAAAAGGAGCATAGTGGGCTCGAAGGCGTTGGAGCCGGCGCCTTAGGAGAGACCGTGCCTGACAAGGCAAGAGGCACGGGGGCAGATCTGGATGGCTATGCTGGTGAACTCAAAGGCCAGAAAGGCAAGAGCGGAGCAGTAGAAGGAGGATTTGCGTGGCAGGGTGCCGAGGAGCGGTTCCCGGTAACAGCAGAAGAGGTTGCAAGCGAGAGGCAGTGAGGAACTTGGGAATGCTCTCCATGGAAGTTTACAGGACTGATATAGCGTGCCTATAGAAGTCTCCATATATGTACTTTCACCAAGCCAAAGCGAACCCAAGGTTAACAATGGCGCTATTAGCTCTTATGATTATTAGAGCGTCGCTCGTCGAGAGCGTGATGTGGTGAATGCTGCAGATATCAGCCATTACATCACCTTGGTAGATGCGAGGATGCAGCTTAAGGATTATGGCATGCAGAGAAATCTGTCCCAGATATTAGAGCCATATTGACGTGAATATCTCTGGAACTCGTCCACGAGGAGTCTATTTCAAATAGCGTTCTTTATTTGCTCCCAGTTGCAGTCGATTGAGGAATTGATCACTTCATAATCGGACGTATCTTATCCTTGGCGCTTTGACAGCAAACAAGAGCTCTCAATATAGTTCCGGTAGTTGGGTCTTTCTTTGAAGTAGAACGCAAGACATATGTGTTGCTACATATCTCTGTAACATCTATAATCCCATATTGCAAGCACTGTCAACTATGCGGCTACCTTTCAAGGCTATAAAAATGCCGGCCTTGCCATCAAGTTATGCTCATCTGCAAATGGTGTCGGTTTAGGCGATGTGTCGTGTCTCAAAGTTATTAAGTCCGCGTAACCATGGCGTAAGCAACGAATGGTGCCTGGGCGCATTCCGTGGATCATCAGCTACTCACAGTAAATTCTGAATCTCCGGGATTCATGTGGAAATATCACAGCTGATCCTCCGAGTTCCAAGATTGGGGATCATTATCCGGAGACAGGCTAACAAGGAGCGCCGTGGTAATCACGGAATTGCAAGTCAAAATGACGAGCTTACCCGGCTTGGCGCGTGATGGGGCTCTTTCAACTCCTTGAACTATACAATATCAAAGCTGTTATACTAATTAAGAAGATTCAGAGCGCAGCCGCTCTGCTCCAGTATTTATGTCTTGGCACTTTACCCGGTTGCCGGACAGCCGCACTCGCATGGACGACCCGACATCTTAAAACTGCGCTTATGTACCCCGGATTCGACACTCCTCCTCGCGCCAAGATGACCTCGAGAAACACTTCACGGCATATATCAAATCGAAAGGGATAGCACCGAAGCAGACTGCAGCCAATAATGGGTCAAGCGCCATCTCAGCCTGGCCCTCCAGGCACGAAGTTTCGAGTGATCGGAGCAGGAATGTAAGCACATTGATATTCGAGGGTTTACTCTTTATTTTGTGTAACATCGTAACTTACATTTCCAGGTGTCGCACAGGCACGAAGACTCTCAATGAAGCTCTCACAATATTGCTCGATGGACCAGTTCACGATGCTGGCGTTCAATCGCTTGGTGGATCGTTTCATCAAGTCAATCAGTGGATGGAGGTTATGAAGAAGGCACCATTTGCCAAAACATTCGCAGAGAAGAAATACGTTCAATATCTTCTAGCTGACATCTTGGATGGATATGTTGCCACAGTGGACTGCCCAGCAGTAACATTGACCCCTGAGTTGATGGAACTATATCCTGACGCGGTAGTCATTGCAACTACGCGCGACACCGAGTCTTGGTGGAAGAGTATGGACTATATGAACTCCATGATGTCGAACTGGTACATCCCTTTCATCATTCTCTGGGTCCCCAAAGTTGGAGTATATGGCCGATGGAGAGACCTCTTCAGATACATGACCCTTTGGCGTTACGGCGACGAAAAAATTCAGAAAGACACACTGAGAAAGCACGAGGAGCATTTACGCAGCGTGGTTCCTGAGAAGAAGCTTTTCTGGTACGATGTGAGCCAAGGTTGGGAGCCATTGTGCAGAATACTCGATGTCCCTATTCCTGATCGCCCATTCCCACACAACAACTCTACAAAGGATGCAGGCAAGATTTACAGGGAAATTATCCTGGCCGGAATATTCTCTTGGATTGTCGTTGGAGGCGTAACTGTATTATTGCTTTTACTCATCTCAGGCAAGTTCGGAGCATCGGAGCTGGCTAGCTCGCTAAGACCGACTCGCTACCGAGACATTATCTTCTCAAACACTTCGAGACTGTAATGATGAACTTAGTCCTGAGTGTTGGTCAATCTGTTCTCGATAAAAGAGTTTTTGATAGAGAGAATAGCTGTTACTAGATTGTAATGGTCGCACCTGATTGAGGAGACGAGAAAGAGAGGGATCACCAAAGAGGAATGAGACAACGATCTGAGAACGAAATATATTCGATCTGCATGTTAAAAGACTTCTACTCTGGGCGCCGACGAGAATGGCAATCCATGAGTCTGGCCGCCACTAAATTTGAGAGGTGCACAAGATTTGGGAACCATGCCAATTACAAAGAATAGACGAGGCCCTCTCCAGTGGCCTGCTTGGACGGTGTGGCTGCATGGTATCTGGTCAACGACAGCCGAATTACCAAACCAGTGGGCCTAGCGCCCAAGATTGATAGCCCCAATACTGGGGTTACAATCTGTCCTCATACTCCTTGTTTTATCACCAGCTTCAATTCACCTCTACATAGACTTTCATGTAGCATCTCGCAGGAATCTATATTTAGTAGTTTCGCATGTCATTTCTACGGAGCTGTCTCGAAGAGTCCTTCCCCCCGTTTTCTCTTTAAAAGGCCTAGGCTAGAACAAGGCCCAAGAGCAGTCCTATTGTGCCGCGCGCTCACCCCACCTTAGTTGGACTGCCTTCCCTTTTGGTAGTCGGATTCTACTTGTCTCCAGGCAAACGACTGCCGTATTGGCCCAGTCGGCCCCCTGCTCTGCATTGACGACGAGAGATAAGGTTCTACGCCTTGATCCTTACATCTTAGCCTCTACCAGATACAACTAGGATAGGACGATCCATCATTCTGACCGCGAATTATAAAAGTACAATCACCGCCTTCACAAGTTCTTTTAGACAAAAATATTGTCAAACACGGTCCTACTCTGTAAAGATATCATCATGGCTCCAACTACTTTGTACCAAGCCAGCATTGGGTTCTTCATCAATGGCATGAGCACACTCCTGCACATCCTACAGAAAGCTTCGGAGGCGCCAAATGCCGAGTCGTTTCCAAACGCAAAGCTTTACGAGGACATGCGCCCACTGTCCTTCCAGATCCAAACGGCCTCCAACTCGGCCAAGAAGAGCGTACTGCGCCTAACAGGGAAAGACTTTGGCGCCTGGGAAGACAATGAAACAACCATGCCGGAGTTGATTGCGCGAGTAGAGAAGACCCTGGCTTTGTTGAAGTCGATCGAGCCAAAGGAGGTTGAAGGAGCGGATGATAAGCTTATTGCGCTGCCCACCGCCGAAGGAGGAACGGCCGAACGGAGCGTACGAGTGATCATGCTCTCTTTTGGTGTACCTAATTTCTTTTTTCATGTCAACATGGCATATGCGATTCTCCGCTCTCAAGGTGTCCCCTTGGGTAAAGACGATTACATCGAGGGTTTCAGTCACGCGACCTAAGAAGGCGTCGTAAAAGACACATGTATTGAGCATCACGTATAAATATGGAATCATCTCTGCCATATATTCTCCATTCGCATCTGTATGGATTCTGGATACAATACAAAAGGTCACTACTGCTCCCGCTGGAGAAAGTCATGTGTTGATCGAATCGCATGATTTTAGTCGTCAAATATGATAGATATAGCAAGATTCATACCCACGACCTGCCACTGTACTCGTTTCCTCACCGTTTCCTGATTGGTCGCCTTCATTACTCACCCGAGTGTTTTGAATACGAGACTTCTAGTATGTAGCTTGTGCATGAATTGCCGATTTAGCTTTCCAAAGACATCTGCGAATGTCAGTACGCATCGAGGCATATTCATACAATCATACAATCAACTTACACATGGGAACGCAGGTTGTCAGGAGAACGACAGAGACAATGCCAAAGACCTTAAAGACCTCTCCAGCACCCTTCTCGGCTGCCCACTTATTTATGAAATTAGAGAACCCATAGAACAAGAAGTTTTTGAGCATCATTTGCAAGATGAACACCTCTGTCTTCTGTTTGGGGAAGGAGTCACTTGTTGGGTTAGCATCGCTACATAGCGGCAGGACTTGAACTCGGGGATTACTCACAGAATGTACAATCCCGCCGATGTAGATGACACCGAAATGCCGAAGCAAACAGCCCCGTGACAGAATGCGCCCAGATAGTAGCCATTCGGCCGCGGGTGGTTAACGTCCCACATGAAGAGAAACCAGCCCAAGGCACAGAAGACAACAGCCAAGATATTAATGGGAATACGAAACTCGGACTCGAATACGCCATGATTTAGTTTGGCAAAAACTCGAGCAGTCCAGTCACAGACATCTCCGATGGGGATGGCAAGAATCCCCCCGAGGAGTCCACCCACGTAAAAGTATCCGTTCTGTGCTGCATTCAAGTTGTAAGGTGGTACTGACCATATCTGAGATGTTATGTAGGCCGAGACGACGAATAGCGAAACCATTACACCGCTGACCAAGAGAATCCAGATGACTGCGGGATTGACAAGATGCATAAAGATCTCACTCAACAGATGGAAGATGTTTCTCTCGGAGTATGTTCCCGAGGTAGGCGCCAGACTCTGGACGTAACTTCTCCTTGGCACGCTTTCGGTGTGTCGCTGTTCCGGTCTTACACTCTGCGACTCGTTTGTATTGCTCGTCGGTTTCTCGTTCTCACTAGTGTGAGAGGTGCTGGGTGTTGCAACTAACAAGGGTCTTCGAAACTGCGTTTCCGGAAGGAGGAAAATGGTGGCAAGGAGGCCGACAGCATTGAAAGGGATGCATGCGATGAACAAGTACCGCCAGCCGACATTCTGTGTCATGACACCACTGATGATGGACACCAGAGATGCTGAACAAGCCAAGGTAGCAACAAGCAGAGCTGTTCTCCAGCCCCTCTCATGAAGATAGAACATATCGCCGACGGCGGCCAATGAAAGACTCTCCCATGCAGTCACACCCAGTCCCTGAATCATTCGTCCAGCGAGGAGTGTGTGGTAGTTGTAGTTCTGTGACCCAGCAATGCAGATGATCGTGCCTACCGTGCCCATAACGGCCGCGAACAGGAATTGTATCCTCTTGCCATATTTCTGTGCGAGCACCGAAACAAGTGGTCTAAATCCAGTCAGTAAAAGAAGGTCTTCTCGCCTTACCGCACCTCTTCTTACCCTAGGGCACCAACAACAAGAAGCTGATACCCCGAAAGCTCTGCGATCTTTGTCAGACTTACCCCCAAGATCTGGGCTAGAGCAAATGTCGATGGGGCCAGGATGGGACCAGGGACGATGGCGAAGATAATTGTATTCACGAAGATCACCCAGAAGGCGGTCTCCTTCTTCCATCGTGGCCATAGCTAAATGCCAGTCATCTTAGCACCTACGGATGGATTCCGCAAAAAGCAGCCGAGGGTAACGTACGAGAGGGTCATTGAGGTCGTTATCGCAGGGCTGAGGGACAAGGATCGTATCTACACCCTGTGACATGTATGGTTGGCTTTGAGCAAATGAAAGAAGCTGGGATGGCGTATTGCACCTTGTATTTGACCCGTTTGAGATGGCCAATTTCAGTTGAGATCTGATCCCCATGGTGGCTCTCTCCTATGAGCACCTCTGTCCCAGGAAGCGCGCCATCGCTCTTCGTCTGGATAATACCAAAAGGCATCTTGAACAACAGATTCAGAACAGTTCAGTAACCACAGAACAATCCAGGGTGTTCGATAAAGAACACGTAAAGATGAGCTTGATGAAGGGGTGTTCATCACCCCCAGCCCGTCGGACATCATTAATATCGCCTACCGCATCGGACAGTGCCTCAGCTGCGGCTCCTCCGAGTCGTCCAACACTTGTCTGGCCTAGACGCTTCTTGCTATCACCAGTGCTTCATAGTCCCCGCTTGCCGTCTCAATGTATTTCGCGTGTCAACTTTTCCCCCAACCCGCGTGTCCACAAATCGCTAAGAGAGATCGCCCCTCCACTTCCCCGCAATCTCTCCAAAGACGGGGTCCGGCACTTGTTTCGCATCGGGTTGTAGATCATCCAGCAGCGTGCTTCGCTTCTTGGCTTGTCTTTCACGTTTATTGCTGTTCTGTTCAGCATTGTAAGGTACAATACAAACATCAGCAAAGACTCGAGGATCTTGAGCAGCTTCTCAGGATTTGGCGCCAGTCTGAAGGTCTTCACGCAAGTCGTGAGTTCCGTCCATGCTTCCGTGACTCAAGATTCAGCCACTAAGCTTGCCGGCTAAAATTATTCGATCTGTTCGAGAGCCATTTTAATCTTGATCAACACGAGTGACCAGGTCGATCGGCAGCCAAATTGGAGCCGAACCCTGAAACGGTCAAGAGAACCCGAGAGAGCCAATCACGATACACCATATAACGCTTCTTACCTCAAGGTTTTTCCGAGATCATAAATTCCTGAGATCTGCTGGGCTCGCACCTGTAAGTTGTCGTTGATGTGTGAGTTGGAAACACAGTTCATTCGATGGCACGAATCTATGGAGATAATACCGATGCTAAGCCCCGGTAAGTATGAAGAGATCAAGTTAATAATCCAGGCAGCTGAGCCAACTCCTTACGTACGGTAGATGTCATAAGAAGCTCGGAAGGAGAGCCAAAGTAGCACGGCGTTGTCTATTCCCACGAGACTGAACCCCATGGTGGATACAGACCCGTGCAGGTCGTGGCTTACTAGGTAGGTTAGCTTGACCTGGGGCATGTAATCCAGTGTGGGGGAGTCTGGTAGGCTCCGGGCCGCAGGTACCTTGCAGGCGGGACCTGAGAGGAGCGAGCGGGAATGGGACAGGAAGGCACCACCTAGAGGACCTTGTGTGGGGCACCTGCCTGCCTCGAGGCTCCCCCAGAATCCATCGATCGATGACATCAGACTAAATAATTATTTTCTTTTTCCCTTTTGAAGAAGAGGAGAAATGAATTGTCTCCCAGACGCAAAGCCTCCGCGTCATCTTCACTATCAGCTCATCCCCGGAGAGTCTAGTATTTGTTGTCTCGTTAGCCAGCAGAAGGAGAGAAATAATTCAGGGATCACTTTGTATTTTGGGATCGGAGGGGCCAAGAGCACATCGTTGTTTACGCATTGGCCATTTGTCTGTACTCAAGACAATCCAGGGCTAGATTCTACCTGCCTACAACACCTATCACTCTGGGAAGCCACACGTCATCTTTCGAGATGACCACCACGACTAGATCCACCGACAACGGCGACGATGCCCCTGTCGCCGCATCCTCGGAGCACGCGAGCACCGGCGACAAGCGCAAGATCGATAGTGGCTCATCTCCTGCACCAAAGGCCCGCAAGATTGACGACCAGAAGGAGCAGAAGACCTTGGAGGAATCGTTTCAAGGGTAGGTTCTCGGATCCCCGACCCATCTAGCTGGGCCGCTCAGCTGACAGGAAGAGCCTAGGAGTGACAAAGACGACAAGAAGGACAATGCCACGGCTGACAACGGAGAGCAACAAGCTCGACACGACGATGACAGCCATACAGCCAAGACTAATAACGGCGATAGCGCTGTCGAAAGTGGCGCACGTAAGGGCGAGACTCCATCCAACATCCTCGAAAAGGGCATTATCTACTTCTTCTTCCGTGGACGCGTAGGTATAGACGAACCTCAGGCTGTTGACGACGTTGCCCGCAGCTACATTATCCTGCGTCCCGTGGACAGGGACGCCAAGCTTGGAGAGGGCGCAATCGGCGATGCGGGCAACAGCAGGCTGTGCGCTATCCCAAAGAAAGTGCTCCCTCAAAGCGGTAGAGACCGATGGATTGCTTTTGTTGAGAAGACGGGCGCCTCTTTCGAAACGCTCAAGGACGAGTTTCTTGCATCCAACGACTACGTAACCAAGACTGCTGGCACGAGACATACACCTGCTGCCACCCCAATTGGCGAGGGCGTCTACGCAATTACTAGCACTGGCAGAGAGAACCACTTGGTGTATTTTCTCACCCTTCCGCAAGAGTTGGGCGAGGTTCAGACGGAGATTGGCCTCAAGGAGAAGGGTAGTTTCATCATGAGCACGCGTAACCCTCAGTATCCCGCACCCAAGAACGCACAGCTACCCCAGGGCCCAGAATACTCCAAAGAGTAGGCCACTCACCTCGCTCTATCAACTCGTGACAAAAGTACTGACAGTGGCTAATTAGGATACTGGATGAGTTCCGGTCTCTGCGCTGGATGGCGACTGTCCCCAAACATCTCGACGTAGTCCAAACACAGTTTCTTCTCATCGGCGAATCCTCGGGCATTGACAAGGCTGTACAGCCCGATAAAAAGGATGGAGATAAGGAAGACCCCATTGAAGAGATGGAAAAGCTCGAAGACGAGGACACCAAAAGAATGGAGCACCTAGGGAAAGATGACTCTGATGCCATCTTCGCGGATCTTGAAGTCCAAGCCAAAGATTACCCGAAATTGCAGACTACATTTTGAAAGTGGTGATGGAATTCCCGCCGATGTTCCGACATGTTGGAGAGGCTACTCGCTTTGAGATCGCTGTGTTGTCAAAACAACTGTCTTGTCGCTTGATAGCTCTGGTCGGTAGTCTGCAATGTGTATTCAGACTCGCTGCTCAATAGCAGCCAGAAGCCAATAAATTCAGTTGATATCATCAACGGCAAACCTGGGACACTATGTGGGAGTAGAAATTTTGCGTCGACATTGATCTGAGTACTTGGGAGATTGGGTGCACCATTGAGGTGTGTTTGTGGAGAAGCTTTAAAGGTTCTCCTATCATACAGTTCGGTGGTTCCAGGGAAACAACGAAAGTCAAAAGCTCCCGCCAGGTCTGCGTGGCCCTACGAAGGCATCTCTCGCCTAACAGTATCTCCGAAACCATGGAACAAACCGTGGGAGAGCACATACCTAAACTTATTCCCACAATGATCTCGGGAGACGTTATAGGAGATAATATTCGCTTCTTGTCCTATAAAGATCAAGCCCAGGCCCTTCATGTACTGGTGCTGCGCCGTCCACAACAAACTACCATTTTCAAGGAAAAACACCCGTCTTGCTGATTAGCACCTATTACTGATCTCAATAAACTCCACAAGACTAGGCCACACAGCTCTCAGTATGGCAGACAAGCTCGATAATCCCGCTGTCGTCCATCATGATCTCGAGGCGTCCAATACGAGGACGGAGCAGGCGTACGACGTTGAAGTTGCCGAGGTCACTGAAAGGGCAGAGCGGGAGATGCCATTTCGCAAGGTCCTTTCCGAAAACTGGCCGACAATCCTCACTTGTCTCGCATCATCATCATGTATTATCCTGGAGGGCTATTGCTTGGCCATGTTGACCCTTCTCTTCACATTTCCCAAGTTTAAAACTACCTATGGAGAGAGAACGCGCATCGCCGACCAAGATTTCTCATGGGAGGTGGCATACCGATGGCAGGTACTTCTTCCGCTGGCTGGGCAAATCGGGGCCTGTCTGGGAAATCTCGTCGCGGGCAAGCTTGTACGACTGGTTGGGTACAAGAAAGGCGCGATTCTGGGGCTCATTGCGCTTCTCTTCTTGAACGCGATCACTTTTCTTGCCCCATCTCCACAAGTTCTCTTCACAGGCTGGCTTTTACAAGGCATACCCTGGGGTATCTTCCAAGTCGGCTGCCCAGGTTGGGCCTCAGATGTTGCCCCTTTGCAATTGCGACCGATTGCTACCACATGGATCAATGTATGCTGGGTCCTGGGCCAACTCTTGGCTTCGATCATTGGCGAAATCTTCTCGCGGGCAACGAGTACCTGGGCGTACCGCGGTCCGTTTCTCATCCAGTGGGTATTCGTTGCCTTGCTTACAGTCGCCTTGTGCTTCACCGCTGAATCACCGTACTGGTATTTGCGTAACGGGAAGCCTGAAGAAGCTGCTCGTTCTGTTAGACGACTCTTGGGGAAGTCATCTTCCATTACAATTGACGCAAAACTCGCCTTACTGAAGCACACGATCGCCCAAGAGGACAACCACAAAGTGCCAGATGATGATACAAAAAGCTGGAAGAAGCAGTTCGACATCTTTAGGGGAACTGATAGGCAGAGGACTGAGATTTCATGCATGACATGGATCATACAAGCTGTATGTGGCAGTGCCCTCGTTCCGTGGGCGCCGTATGCACTTCACCAGTCAGGCCTTGCCCAAAGCATCACCACGAAGCTCAATATCGGAATTCAGGTCATAGCAGTAATTGGAACTTTGGGAGCATGGGTGCTGATGCGCCATGCTGGTCGTCGACGAATCGTAATCAGCGGACTGATAGCCATGGGTGTAGTGATGACCATCATGGGTGGTCTTGGATTTATCTCTACTGGCTCTGGATGGATCATGTTTGGCGTGTTGTTGGCGTTCACGTTGCTATACGATCTAACAATTGGACCCATCACCTACACTATCGTCGCGGAGGTCCCTTCTGTTCGGCTGAAACCCGCGACGCTCGGTCTGGCGAGGGCCCTGTACACCTTGGCCGGGATGGCTAACCATTGTGTCATCCCAATGATGTTGAGGCAGGATAAATGGAACCTGGGCGGCAAGACGGGCCTCATCTTTGGGGGGATCTGTCTCGCAAGTGCTTTGTACTCGTTCATCCGCCTTCCAGAGACCAAAGACCTCCATCCACGACAGATTGATCTTCACTTTAATCCTCATGGTCAAGAAGGGACTAAATGATCTCCCTGTTCAGGTATTTCGACTAGGTAGAGGACTTCCAAGGTGGCAAGACTTTTATTTGTTTGAGTTGGTGGAACCCTGTTGTTGCAGTTTCTGGGTTCGTAAGGGAAAGTGATGTTGCGCCCATTGATTTGATTAATAACAACTGTACAGGGCTACGACTTCGAGCAGATAGTAAATGCAATTCCCAAGTATCTAATTATCTGGGTGAAACCATCAAGTCTCTTGTTTGCCTCTAGGCTCTCCCATGAATAAAGCGTGCTGCTCTTCGAGACATGCGGGGCCAGGATAACGTATTAGGAGGTGTGAGTCCTTCATGGAACTCTGGTTAGGCGTCAACCATGCATGCATTAGTGGTTAGCCGCAAGACCAGGCATTGGCCATGCCAGATGATGAAATCATCATAAAAGAGGGCACGCGATTGGAGACTGTCTCAAACAGATGATCAGTGCAACCGCAGCTGTACGACTGCTTCCATTCTTCTTGTTCGCACATTTCAACATATTGTCACAATCTCTCTAACTGGCAAGCAACCCCGGTGCTTTTGTGTCCCTTCACCGTCAAGACCGCCACCCCGCACTCTTCGATCGCCCACCACCACTCACTCTCCTAAGGTATCAACCATATCACCCATCATCATCATGGCGGCGACGATGAAAGCCTGGCAGTACACGGACACCACTGGTGGCCTCGAGAAGAACCTCGAATTGACTGAAGTTGCCAGACCTGCAGAGCCTGTGGGGGAGTTTGAAATCCTGGTTGAAGTCATCAGTGCAAGCATCAACCCCGCCGACCACAAAGTTCCCGAACTGGGTTTGATCTCCCGGTCAGTAATCAGACGCCCTGCCACACCTGGGATGGACTTCAGCGGACGCGTCGTCTCCCTAGGTGCCAAGATCGACTCGTTCAGCATCGGTGAAACGGTCTTTGGTCGCCTGGCTCCAAAGCAGCACGGCTCGTTAGGCCAACTCATTGTCGTAGACACAAAGAACGAGGCCTGCGTGGCGCTACCGGCTGGAGTCGATGTCGACCACGCTGCAACTGTGGGCACAGCTGGGATAACAGCCTATGAGGCCATTGCCCCAAATGTCAAATCAGGCGACAAAGTGTTCATCAATGGAGGGTCGGGCGGGACTGGCACTTTCGGCATCCAGATCGCGAAGGCACTGGGATGCTACGTCACGGTAACCTGCTCATCTGGCAAGGCACAACTATGCAAAACCTTGGGCGCAGACGAAATCATTGATTACACTACTACCAATGTGGCACAGAAGCTGAAAGAGGCTGGTCAAGTATATAGCCTGGCAGTTGATAACGTAGGCTCACCGCCTGAGTTATACAAGGCTGCCGATGATTTTCTTTTGCCCTCTGGTCAGTTCGTCCAGATTGGGAGTTCGGTTTCCGTGGAGAGTGCAAAGTCCGTTGCGTCTAGACTGCTTCTACCATCGTTCCTTGGTGGAGGGAAGCGGAAGTTCTCGTTACATGTGATCAAGCCCAAACAGGACGAACTGAGACAGCTTGGGCGGTTAGTGGTGGAGGGGAAGGTGAAACCCGCGATAGATGAGGTGTTTGAATTCGAGGATGCGCCGAGGGCGTTCGAGAAGTTGAAGCAAGGGAAAGTTGCGGGCAAAATTGTCATCCATGTCACAAATAAGGAAACCAGTTGAGCAGGTATGAGAATAACATTGAGCGATAGGCAACTGAAGAAGGGATATTGATAGAGGACCGAGTTTGTGGCTATGTAAGCATACAAGCTTTATATCGTGGTTGACCCAAGTCTGGCTCTTGGAGTCAATGAGGCATCTCGCAGCAGAAGACAATGGGAAAGTAGTCATGGGATATTTTAGCGATTTTCACGGTTCATTACCCACTAATTCTGGAAATCATCGTATAATTATGTCAAGTTGGAGTTGGTTTATTTAGATTAAGTCAATGGCTTGCCTGGCCCACGGCGTCGCATTTTGATCTGACCAATCTGAGTCTTCATTGAAAAACGCTCCAATCCTCTCATAACGATTTCCATCTACTTCTCTGAGTAGGAGTCCGAAGTAACAAGTCTTGTCAGATGTTGACTCATATCGTTTCATCCAGTCCCTCGTGAAGGTGATCATACCATACACCTTGTCAGGCAGCGCAGCTTCAACTTCTTCTTTTGACGCCTTATGCTTTGGTTGATTCTGAATGTGCTCCAACATCTGTCGATACCATTCAGAGACATCGTTGCTCTTGGGAGGAGGTGGGGCCAAGTCCTGTGTGTCAAATAACCGAAGAACGTCTTCTCTGTCAAGCTCTGCAAATGGACCTTCAATCTGAAGTATTGCGTGTGAAACTTGCCCAAACGCTGTATTTTGAGGTGTTGGCACAACATCGCATCCCAGCACTCGAGCCATTGGTATTGCGTCGCTTGTGATGTCCCCATATGAGACTGGACATTCCACAGATGCCCAGGACCAGGATGGCGCCCGCCACTGGGATGGGCGGGTCAGCCAGTCTCGAGTGTCTGTATACCACATCAGGTCATGGAGCAAGTTGTTTTCCCACAAGCCGGCCATGTAGTTGACACCAGTAATACGACTCATCTCGGCTGCGATACCCCCTATAGCGGGGAGCTTGTCTTCACTCAACCCTTGTTTACGCTTCGTGTAGTTGTTCACAAGTCCATACCAGCTATTCTGGACCTGGTTGATCGTGAACAAGTCTGCACTTTTGTCAGGTAGTGCTAGCAGATTGTTGATCAGGCGTCGTTCTTCCATCGTGATTTTTGTTTCTTCAGGATAGAAGCCACCATCACTCCAGACTTCGCGATTACATCTCCATGTTGCCCAACGCCCGTACGAAAGGAACCGTGGTGATAGAATCCTCTCCTGAAGGCACCAGCCTCGTTTCCATACGCTATCGTCTGAAAAGCTCCGAACAAATTTGACGTCCTCATCGAGCAACAAAAGCGAGCCCATGGCTTGTTTCGGCATCTGGAAGGAATCTTGAAACGTCATAGCATTTTCATTAGGGATAGGAAAAGCCATCGGGATCAATGGTTTCCAGAGGCCTGTGTCAGGATCTGCATGACTGTCCAAGAAACCCTTGCTGACCTCGTCGGCGCTAGCCGCGCAGATTGTCAAGTAAGCATTCTTGTAAACCTCAACCATGTTGGAAATTTGGTGGGTTTTGTCTTCCTCGTTATCTTGGATGATACATAGTGAGTCAACCCACAGGTATTGTATGCCCAGCTCCTTGGTGACCCTGACTGCGTCTTGCAATGTCTGAGGCAAGTCGTCATGAGAGAAGCCAAGAAGCCTATCTGGAAGAGTCGACGATGTGGTACAGAATTCCTGCGGACCACCCCAACAGTAGCTGAGCGTTGTGTAGTGACCGTGCTCTCCAATGACAGTTTCATGTAATCGGAGCTTCTCAGCATCGGACACATCAACGAGGCGTGTCGGCAAACGACCAGTGCCTAGCGGCTTGCACGCACTGCCGTGTTGTTCATCACAGATTTTCATCCACGCCCGGATTTGCGCCATTGTCTCAGGCGATGCTGGTGAAGGATTTGGGGGCCGACTGCTCAGGATTTGTGCAGCAGGATCACCTGAAGCAATTAGTTTTGCTGACTTGACAACTGTTTGATAAGGTTACTTACTGCCTAGTGCAAACACGTCCATCTCCATGCCGATGTTGCCAGCCGAGTTAAAGACACCGCGTAGGTCTTTGATAACGTGTATCTTCTCGGTATCCTTATGGAGAGTTATCTCCAGCCGATCAAAGTCCGGCATGGTTGAGCCCTTCTTCGTACAGAGAGGAGTGACACGAAACTCAAAGACATCGCGTTTAAGTCGCGTGAGCGTCTCCATACAATGTTCGACAAGATCATCTCGCTCTTTGTGATGCTTACTAGGCTCAGCATACCAGGGCTTGCTCGGTCTATAGGCAAATGTCTGGCCATTTCCAGGGCCGAAGAACTTCCTGAGACAGAAGCAGCAGAAGGCACAGCCCAACTGAGTCGCCTCTATGAGTTTTGAGATACGAAGAGGCCATCTTAGGGATATGTTGCGAGGAACCTTGGGATCTTTCAATATCAGATGTATTGCAGATAGAGGTTCTGTAACTGGAGCGCACGAGGTGCATTTAGACGGAGAAGAGACAGCGAAGGAAGATTCCTGGACCAGCTTGAAACCTGGGCCGGGGGTATTATCTTCGGTTGTATCTGTCTCCTCCAAGGCGCTATCTGGCATGAGCCCTTCGAGTTGAGTGAAAGAATGCCCTGGATGTATCAGTGATGCGTCGGCGAAACACTTTGAGCAGTAGTCAAAGTCTGGACAGCTTTTGCATTTGTATCTGCTGCCGGAGATACGCTGATCGCATCGGTCGCAAACCGCTCGTGCGTCAAATTCTTCCCCCTGGGATTCATCGCCTTCTGATTCTATATCGTTCTTGCCCCCACGGTTTGCCGCATCAGGTTCATGAGACTTCAGCTGGCCCTTCTCTCCGTCGGTCGCTGACTGATTTTGGACAGACGGAGTATTATGATTTGGACTATCCATAATAATCTTCTGTGAATTACTGTAGATTTCTTGAAGGATGAGAAATTCAGTTGAGATGAAAGCGCTCTCTACTTGTCCTGGCGTCTTGTTTTGTACTGTCAGTCAGGGCTGTGCCGCATCGTTGAGCCTGTTGCCTCAGCTTGCCTTTTAACAATCCACCCAGAACCCATTGAGGCTGCGGACATACGTCCGGGACCAGGCAGATGTGCTGCCTTGCCATCCTTGTGGTAAGAGTGAACTGTCTGACTGCGAAAGGATTCAGGTGGCGATTAGGATGCATGCAATGGGAGCCTAGAAATAAGAGTCAAGCCGTTGCTGGGATTATTGGTAGTCATGACTGGTTAATGAATGCCCATTTGTTAACGAGATATCTAGCTGAAATTTACAGCACCCTTGCGAATTGTTATCAGCCCATCTGATGCGCACAATGGATCACCCAGCGCAGCTCATGTGGGGTGTTTGTTATAGGGTAGGCAATCGTTGCTCAATTCTAACATCTTAATTTAACTAACTGTCAAGCTCTCATGCAGTAGTTATTTCTCTGCCACGGCGGGCTCTTCTACTATCTGATCTGGTCGTCGAATGCCTACGTGTTGTATGCCGACCTGTCGCACCACCAGGTAAGCGGGTACGATTGCCAATCCCCAGAGTCCAAAATTGATCCCCAAAGCCACGATAAGCTGTGCGATTGTTAGCGCCTATACCAATAAATCATCGCGAGAAAGTCCGATCTTACCGGCGTGGAAGTGGAACTGATGCCAGAGGAGATGCACTGCCCGGCGCTTTCCAGTGCTCTGATTGAGCTTGTAAGCCGAGCCACGTCTGCAGGTTCCTTGGCCAGGTTCCCGACAAGCCAGTACCCATAGTTGTACGTCAGTGCCCAGTTCACTTGCCACAAGATATAGAGCGCCCATCCACGACCAAAACCTGCATCGTCCCAATCAAGCGCTGGCTTATGCGAGGAGTAGCCGCGTTGTACAACTGTGCCCCAGATCCAGCAACCACCAATCAAGGCCATCATGACGCCGTACGAGATCCTAGCACGGTTTGTGATCGATAAACGCCTCCAGTCCAGGAATGATCCCATAATGAGAGTCGCCGCGATCTGGGCCAAGGCTGCAATGAGCGATGCAAGTGCACGAGCACGAACTGAGAAATACAGCGAGACATATGACCCAATGTAAGGCAGACTCCAGTTAATGTAGATGAATAGAGGCGTTCTGCTAAAATTAGCTATTTGAGCGGACAACTGGAGATAGTTCATTAGGACTCACAGGAGCAAGACTTCTTTGCGAAGCATCAACCGCCCAAGCGCTTTCAGCTCTGCCACGTCCGATATTCTCTTTGCAAGCTGGACGCGAGTTCCGTTACGACGGACCACTTTCTCTGGAGGTGATAAAAGAAGAGCAACTGCGGGGCCAATGCATTCTGTGGTCATGTGTAAGTCTTTACGCCACCGCAACAACATGAGGGACACTCACGGAGAACTACGAAGACGATATACGTCCTCCAGTCCAGCTTTCCTGTAGTCCGCCCGTGAACATTGAAGGCCAAGTTGATTATTCCTCCAAGAATGCCACCGCCATTTCTGTAACAGAGCCAATATGCCAAATATTTCCCTCTTGTCTCAGGTTCAGGATAGCTGAGCATGATGGCTCCTTCCGCCGCCCAGAACAAGCCAGCAGTAATACCACAGGCTGCGGACCCGAGGTATATAAACCATTCGTTCCCATAGCGATTGTTTGTGTATAGTGCGGCGGAGTAGACGACATAGCCTGTTGTACCAAAGACTAGGGTGCTCTTCAGTCCGAACCGGTTGGCGACGATACTGCCTGTAAGGCAGGTAATTGTCATGAGAGAAAAGAGCAAGGCGTTACCGGCCCTAGAACAGATGTTAGCAAACGTCTTGATTCTGCTATGAGCCGAGCTCTTGATGGCTTACATTACCAGAAACGGTGTTTGTTGACCGCCCGCACCAACTGAGTTCATCGCATTCCAAAGACCTGGGGCTGCAAATGCAGATATTCCGACGATCGTTGCTTGAAAGAAGACACCTCTGAACCAGCTGTACTTTTGGGCGCTTTGATCTTCGCCATTATCACTGGGATTGCCATAATCCACGGCGGGCT